TATACTTATTCCAGAGATATATTTTTGAAATGTGTGTTATTTATTGAGTAATTGTTTTATGAACGTGACATTTATGACAATGAATAAGTGTAGATGTAAAATTGTGTGGGTGTGCAATTATTTCCAAACTTGTAGTTATCAAATTACTTTGATAAAGTTCTATTGGCAATGAGTTAATTACTGGAATGGTCAAGTGAATAAAATGAATAAAATGGTAAAATACAAACACTTAAGGATAATTTAAACAGACTAAAAACAGAAAACACTTAGAAGGGACGAAACAAACATTGAATTTAAAAGGGGAAGGACTTTAAAGCACTACATCATAGTCTTGGGCACAATGAGTTTTTTGTTGTTGTATCTATTAGATTTTAGTGGTAAATTTTGACAGATGTAGGTTAGCATGTGACAGTTCTTCTTCTGTTTCTCAATACTGTAAGTTAAGTTATCTAGTTTCATAAAATATGCTGTTATTAATAATGAATGTCTATAAGCCTGTTTCAATTTAGATATATCAAAAGTAAAAGTAAATTGATGTGTTTAATATTGGCATAATCTATTGGCATATTGGCATAATTGGCATATCTAAATTGAAACAGGCTTATAGACATTCATTATTAATAACAGCATATTTTATGAAACTAGATAACTTAACTTACAGTATTGAGAAACAGAAGAAGAACTGTCACATGCTAACCTACATCTGTCAAAATTTACCACTAAAATCTAATAGATACAACAACAAAAAACTCATTGTGCCCAAGACTATGATGTAGTGCTTTAAAGTCCTTCCCCTTTTAAATTCAATGTTTGTTTCGTCCCTTCTAAGTGTTTTCTGTTTTTAGTGTGTTTAAATTATCCTTAAGTGTTTGTATTTTACCATTTTATTCATTTTATTCACTTGACCATTCCAATAATTAACTCATTGCCAATAGAACTTTATCAAAGTAATTTGATAACTACAAGTTTGGAAATAATTGCACACCCACACAATTTTACATCTACACTTATTCATTGTCATAAATGTCACCTTCATAAAACAATTACTCAATAAATAACACACATTTCAAAAATATATCTCTGGAATAAGTATAAATAACTTTTAATAACACAATAATATATTACACCACTTACATTTAACAAACAATCTCACACACATCTCAAATTCATTGGATCAAATCTACCTCCTCAAGAACTTCCCGTTTACTGTCAAACAACTGCAATAATAGTATTGAGTTCTCCATTCAACAATATACAGTAGTTTCAAACATGTTCTACCATCCATCTATTAATAGAGTACCGGCATGTAAGTAATTTTATTTTATTTCATTTATTTATTTGCTCATTCATTAATTTATTCCAATAGAAGAGATTTTATGACAATTTGTGGGCCTTACCTTGTCCTTTTAACTTTTTTAAAAAATATTTATACCTTTTATTCAACTCAATCATTTAAATAAAACCACAGACAGGTAATATTGGCATAATTATTGTAATTTATAACATCTAATTTGTTTATCTTTATAAGACAACACCCTAATATGGGTTTTTATCATTTCAGCATTTGTTTAACTTTGTACCGAGACCTGAAGATGCTTTGCATATTGTAGAAAGCGAAACCGGTCGTCGGATAGTTAAATTAAATTGATTGTGAGTAAGTCTGATTTATTATTTCTTTACCTATTTGAAATGGACTCACACAAGCAACAAATTCATGATTCATTTTTTATATTTATAGCAAAAGAGGCAGTAGCTGAAGCCGCTGGACAACTAGTAGAAGATTGGACTCGCTTAAAACTGTCTAAAGATCATCACCCTAAAGAAAGTCACGAATTTGATATAAATAAGTTTCTTTCAAGTAAGTCATATTTATATACTTTTTATTGTATCAACCTGTCCTCGTGTTTTTACCAGCAAAAAAAATAATTTGGATTGTTAGCTCTGGTCTAAAATGTTGCCAACATATAGACAATATAAACTCACATCATTTATCATTTAAGATTTTCTCTTTTTCAATTGATCCACTTACTCTAGAAGCTTTACTTACTTCTTATTCTGATCCGATAGAAAGCCTAAATAGACAGCCCTAAATAATTTTCAAACGTTCAAACAGATTGGCGTAAATAATAATAAAAATAAATATATAGAAACTAACAAAAGTCAAGAATATTCTCAGTAACAAACAAATAATTTATGAAAAAATTCTCAGACAGGTCAATCTTTATTTTTAATTAGAATCTGTCTTATTCTACTTCATTCTTATAATCGGCTGATCTGACACAAGGGATCCATAGAATGGCTACCGAGATTGCCTGATATAACACCTTTAGACTGTAGGAATATTAAAAGCAAAGTGGATGTTAACAAACAGTATAATCTGAAAGGGCTGAAGAAACGAATTGGGGCAGAATGTCGTGCAATTCAACAAGATTTATATCTGTAAAATAAGTATGTTAAATTAAATCCGAAATAGGCTAGACTATTGTCAGGTATTAGTTGGAGGACATTTTAAGCTCTAAAATAGTTTTTAATGCTATTTGTAGTATTTTTATGAAAAACCCACAAAGAAACTAAAATTCTCTAGTTGGCTGTATACCATGTATCACAAAATTTTATTTAAAAATTTTCCTTTATAAAAGGTATAATAATAAAAACGAAGAACATATGGGAAGATCCTGCGAAAAAGATAGAGCAAGCGATAAAAATGCAAAATCGGGAAGGATCAGGCTGACTTCACGGCAGAAAGATCATGCTCAGACCACATATACACACTGGAACAACTGTTGAAAAAAAAGTAAAAATAAAGATATACCTATGGCAATTGTGGACCTAAGAAAGGCGTATGACTCTGTACGAAGGTCAGAACTATGGGAGGCAGTGTACAAATTAGAAAACTAGACGGAATTCATAGAAGCTACAAAAGCACTGTATAAAGAAAATAAAGTGTCCATTAAAGTGGAAACAATAAATAGGAGACTTCATCACAAGAAAAGGGCTCCTGCATGATTACTCTTGCACTGGCCTCATTATAAATATAGAGTCGGTGCATGATCTAAAACCTTGTTATTCTTCTGCTAGTGTTATAATTTCATTCTGTTTATTTGTTATCACTTTGGTTGTTAATTTTAGTGTTTCAATTAATTCCTTTCTAAATTATTTTTTAATTTTCTTAATGCTTCCTTTACCTTTTCCTCCTCAATATTTATTTCTTCGTTTGTCTTCACCTCTGGTGATGGTGGTTCATTATCGTCCCCTATAGCAAATAGGGATCGAAAGTGATCTACCCATGTCTCCTTCTGAATGTGTTTCGTTTTTATTGGTTTGTTTATCTCTTGTCGTTTAATGACAATAAATAGAGTAGTAAAGACCGCAAGGGATGGTCCCTCAATAGGAAGACGATCAGTAGGAAGACCACGGAAACGACGCAACGACAAATTACTGGAGGCACCTTGAAAAACAGTCAGAGTCATGTCTATATAAAAAGAAGAAGAAGAATAAGAAGAAAAAGATTTTTTCTTTGTCCTCTGATCATTCTCCATATTTCTTTTTGTATTTCGTAGAAATCGTGTTCCATCTGTTTTGAGAAGCTGTCAGTGTTCCCTTTTTATTTGTCGAACTAAATTATTCGTTATATTTCTGATTCGTTTATAGTGGTTATTTGCCTGTTGTGTTTATTGAGATCGAAATTGTAAAAATGCTTTGTTCTTTTCTGCACATTTTGCCTTCACTTCCTTTTCAAACCGTGGTGTTTAATGGTGATATGGTAGTGTTGGTTACTTTCCTCTCTCCAAATGACTCTGTTGTTGTGTTAATTATGTTATTTTTAAGTTTTTCCCAGCTTTTCTTGATGTTATCGTTTTCTAATATTTTATTCCCAGCGATTTTTTCTGATATTCTTTTCCTATATAATTATTCGGTGGATTCCGTATTTTGTGGTCCTTCGATTTTAATTTTTGTTTATGTTGGCGCCGCTCTCTTGGGTGGAAAGTATTTCAGGATGATTCTTATTTTAAATGATACTAGGCTATGGTCGCTACCTACATGTGCTAAGCTGAGGCATCCTACAATGGTTATTTTCGATGGATGTATATCTGTGTTGGTTATAACATAATAGTTCATAGATCTTTGTCTACTGGTGTTGTTAAATGTATATTTGTGTTGGTCTTTGTGGTCAAAAAATATGTTGTTTATTCATAGTTTGTTATTCGCACAGAAGTTTATCATCAGTTCTTCATTTTCGTTTTTGACATCCAGTTATGTTTTTGCTTAATTACAGGTATTATTTGATGATGGCCTATTTGAGCGTAAAAATCACCAAATATTATCATCTTTCCTCTGACTTGATCTACTACTACTTGTTGTAATTGGTCATAAAACCCTACCCAAAACTGCTTAAAGAAACAATGTACAAAAACTTATGAAACATAAAAACAAAGTTACAAATATGTTGTAAAGATAGCTTACATATTGAGTTGGAGATATGCTATATGAAAAGACAAGATCAGAAACGAAGACCTATGGAACACATAACCAGAGTTACAGACATTGTAGAGAGAACTTGCAGATTTAAATGGAGATAGGTGGCTATGCGGCAAAGATGTAGAATGTAAGGTGAAAACGTAAGTTACCGAATGAAGACCAAGAGTAGATAAACAAAACAAAGGAAGACCACCTACACGATGCTACGGCATGGCAAGATAATCTGTGAAAAATGACGAAACATAATATCCATACTGCACAAGAACGTGCACTCTGATTACAAACAGAGGAACCCTATGTTCTAAAGAAGACTAAAAACGGCATTATGATGATAATATTAAATTACTTAAGAGTAGTTGATGTTGTGTATTTTCTCGGGCTGTCCGAGAATTTTTTTATAAATTGTCTGTTATCGAGATCTTTTATTGAGAATATTTCATATTTTGTAGCTCTCTGTATCTATTTTTATATAATTATCACTAACTATTTATAATTGTTAGCACATTAGTAAAATATTGCAGGATATGGAACTGAAACAAAGAAGAAAGAATTAGAATACGATGATTATTTAAATTCAAGGAATGTAATATCTAAATCTAGAAAACGAAGAAGTGCTAATAAAAATACTGATAGTCATACAACAGCAACCAATCAGCAATCAAAAACCATTGTGTTTGATCCTCTTTTTGAAGATGATTTTGATTTTTCAAGTTTCTTCAGTGAATTACTTTCAAATGAAGATTTCATGGATTGGGATTGGGAAGAAAGTATTATACCCAATCCCAAAGGTCAATATTTCGAAGAAAATAGTTTTCAACCCAAAGAAGATATACCAGATACGGAAATAGAACTTAATACTAAGCTTAAGGATACAGATAACGAGAATTTAGAAGTCGAAGATCCAAAAATCCAAGATGACATAAAACAGGACAATATGAAAGATATAATAAATATTGACTATAACGTGATGTTAGATTATAAAGATGAAAGTACTCGTAACATAAAAAATTATGGTGAAATCCAGTCCTCTAAAATAAACCTTAGTAATAAAGATGAGAAAGAAAACGAACAATCAGTAAATAAATCTGATGATATATTCTTAGATAGAGAAACAGATAAGGTCGATATGGAAAGTACTATAGATGAAACCGAAGCACAAGAAGTATCAGAAACGGCTATGGATAAGAAACCACAAAGTGAGAGTAAAAATATACAAAGTACTGATGATCATAAAGACGAAAATGAAGAAGAAAATAGGCAATTAGTAAAACATTCTGATGATAATATATTGTTAGGTAGAGAAACACAAATAGTCGAAATAAAAAGTAATCTAGATGAAAGCGAAACGCAAAATAATAAAGTGTTAGAGTCGTCTATGGATAGTAAATCACAAAACGAGAATGAAAAATTACCAAGTATTAACAACAATAACAATAAAGCTAGTGAAAATAAACAAAAAAAATCAAACAAACTACACTCATCTATTATCGACTGTATAAATGATAAATTTTGCGATTTACTAAAATGCATTTGCAATTATTGCAAATGTGTTTCAACTATTGTTGATAAACTAGTTGGAAGTAAGTATTTAATTTTATTAGGTTTATTATAGCAGATTAAAATCGGAATAATATATGTGAGTGTGTATATATTTACGTATATATCAATAGAGTACCGACATTTCTCTCTCCAACGGCGCTACCGGTCAAATCGCGATTTGGCTCCTCTAAAATGTGCCGGTCCTTCGACGATCTTCTCCAAGTTGTTACGTCTAGCAAATTTTGCGCGTCCGCTGTCACTTTATCTTTCCACATTTTTCGTGGCCCTCCTTTTGATCTTGTTCCCTGCATTTTACTATTTTAGGCTTTTTTCGGTACTCCTTCGGTCTTCATTCTCGCCACATGAACAGCCTATCGAAATCTCTAAAGTTTAAAGAATTCTGAGATCGGTGTCTCTTTGAACAGTTGATAGAGTTTATAGTTGAACCTATATCTCCATACTCTATTTTCGTTAATATTCTTCTAAATGTGCCTATCTACTAGAGATGTTAGCAACCACATTGACCTATTCACAGCAGCTCGAAATAGATTAGTTGACGTCAGACCAGTCCACTTGCTAAGATTGGCCAGCCAGGATATACGTCTACGTCCAGGGCCTCTCTTACCCTCAATCTTGCCTTGTATAATTAACTGTAGAAGTCGGTTGACCCATTGTGCATCCTCCCAGGGAGCTGTCGCCCCTAGCTCATTGTCCATCCTACTATTTCTAAAAAGGTGGACAAGTCACCAGGAGACATCTCTCTTATGTGGGCAGGTGTGGGCCAGGACTCGCCGAATGCGTACTCTCGTATTAACGATCACTCCGAGCATTCACATAGGACATGCTCTACAGTTTCGTCTTCCCGTTCACACTTTCTACATAGAGGTGTGTCTGCTAGCCCCAGTGTGTGGAGATGTTTGCTTAGTTGACAATGACCAGTTAAAAAACCAACTGTCAAGCATAGGCTATTGTGTAGAAACCATTGCTGCTGAGTAGGTCAACCAGGGTATCTAGAACTATGTTCCAGAAGAGTTCCCCTGTGGACACCCCCTCGTAACCATGCCTCTGACAGAAACGTCTTCTACATTTATGCTTATTGCTCTATTAGACAGCATACTGAAGATCCATTCGTTTATGGCCAGGGAAACATTCCTGACGTTTAGCTGTTGGGTGGTGGTTGGGAATGTGGTTTTATCAAACGCTCTAAATGTCTATGAATATGCCTAGGGTGGATTCTTCACTATCCAGCGATCATTTAATTCTTCCCACTACATGATGCAGGGCAGAATCGGTAGATCTTCCCGAAGTATATCTTGATACATAGTAGTGTGTGTGACATCATTTACGTTTCCCTGTGAATTATTACAAACTACAGTTGGTTATTGTTTGAGTTTAACGATCATTTTTATATCAGTTTAAACATAAGAATTTTCTATTGCCAGTGGTGTTTTTATTTCGTCATAAAGTGCATCAGAGATCCCGTATTTTGGATTATCTACAGATTGCAAGGTCAGTCTTTTTATTTTGTTTATATCTATTTACGGCGATTCACTCCCACTGCTGCTCTGCTGTTCCCACCATGTCGACCTGCGCTAACTGTTCAAAGTCAATCGATGATCGAGAATCATCAAAACAACTTCAATGTGAAGCATGTAAACAGAACATACATTTAGCTTGCACTGATCTACGAGCCGAAGATCGCGTTACTAGGCATAAGCTACGCGGAATTAAAATTCTTTGCAACAACTGCTGCTCTAATATCGAAAACTTTGCTAATTTAAAGACGCTCTTAAAAGATCTAAAAGAGAATTTTCAATCAAAAATTGATCTAATAGACCAAAAAGCTAATGATATCAGTGAAAGACTTTTACAGATCGAAAACAAGTTATCTATTGAGGATCATTCTTCATCTCCAAAATTTACAGATACCATAGCAAATGAAGCAGTTGATCGCATTAACCGGGCTAAGAATATTTTTGTTAGGGGTGTACCCGAAATTACAGGAGACATTGAAACAAAGAAAAGTCACGATGATGGAATATTAAAAAAAATTTTAGATACTGTAATGTCTAACTCCACTCCTGTCACATTTTTCAGGATTGGAAAACCAAACAATCGCTTCCCTAGGATGATAAAGGTCATTATGCAAAATGAACATGAAGCCAAACATATTTTGAAGAACAAAAAGAAACTTTTACAAAACGTCTCTTTAAAAAACGTTTCCATTATCGACGATAAGACTCCAAATCAAATAGAATGCCTAAAAGAACTTCGAGTGGAACTGGAACAGAGAAAATCGAATGGAGAGGAAAACTTAACCATAAAATATATACAAGGTGTCCCGAAAATTGTAAACTTTCGTCACTAATTCTGATATTTCAGGTTTTCATAATTGGCTCTGTTTCTATACTAATCTAGCTACTTTAAATTCCAAATTTAATGAATTTTTATGCAACATTCAAAACCTAAATCCTCAAATAATTCTTATCACTGAAACATGGTTAACACCAAATGATCCTGACTCCCTTTATAACATTGATAATTATTCCCTTTATAGGTGTGATCGTCGTAATCGGCGTGGAGGAGGAACTTGTATCTACTTGTCTTCAGAAATTACTATTAATTTCTCTGTTACATCTCTTGATATTACTGTCCCTAATATGGAACTTCTTGGCTTAAAAATATGTCATAAAAACTCTTTTGTTTTTCACCTAGTATGCGTTTATCGGCCTGGTGATTCTAGATTAGCAGATGATGAGTCCCTTATCGCATCACTTGATGAACTGTCTAGGCTAGAGAATTTAATTGTTATTGGAGACTTTAATTTTAGAGACATTTCGTGGCCTATAACTGATCCACCTAGTGGCTTAACAACTTCCAAAAACGCATTTACAGATTTTGTACTAAATTCTAATTTACATCAATTCATAACGGAGCCGACTCGTTTCAGAATCAATAATTTACCATCTATTTTGGACTTGGTATTCTCTAATGATCCCCATTTATTAACACATCCCTTAATAAGTTCTCCAGTAGGTAACTCAGATCATGCAGTCATAACGTTTCATATTCAGTTTAACTTACAGTACTGTACTCCTAATCCTAATGTTAATAAAATGGTATATGAAATAATTGATTTTGAAAATGCCAATCGCCAACTGACTGACATTGATTGGAATGATGTTTTCGGCGACATAAGGAATCCAGTTGTATTCTGGGATAAGTTCCTACAGGTTGTTAATTTATGCAAAAACCAAAATACCCTCAAAAAAACCATATACAAAAATAACATAAAACCTTGGATTAATGGGGAATTAATATATCTGATCAAGTATAAAAGAAAGTTGTGGAACAAATATAGACGTACAAATCGCATAGAGGATTTACAAATTCATCGAGACTTTGCCAGAGATTTAAAGAAATCTTTACATGAAGCTCGTGTTGCCTACGAAGAGAGTATAGCCATCAGTAATAACTGTAAAAAATTGCACAAGTATATTAGATCTTCGTTGACAACAAAAGTTTCTATACCTTTACTGGAAAATGATAATTGGGATATATCCCAAAATAACTATGAGAATGCCGAACTTCTCGCCAGTACTTTCTCCAAGGTTTTCTCTGTTGAACCCACTAATTATCAGTTCCCTAATATTACTTCTTCACGAGTTTCTTCTTCTCTTGAAAATATAATCATTACTCCTGAAAAAGTTAAACATCATCTTCAAAGCCTAAAAAATAATTCGTATCCTGGTCTCGACTTAATATCTTCTTTATTTTTAAAGAAATGTTCTGATGCTTTAGCTTATCCACTATATGTGATTATGTCCCTATCATTCACCACACATATTTTGCCTCCTATATGGAAAACCGCATCTGTAACACCGATCTTTAAAAAAGGGAACAAACTGGATCCTAATAACTATCGTCCTATCAGCTTAACACCTATAATATCTAAGATAATGGAAACTATTATTGCCGAGACAATTTCTGATTTTCTGCAAAATGAACTGGTTATACCAGAACAGCAGCATGGTTTTGTCAAAGGACGTTCTACAATGACAAATCTTCTCTGGTGTGTCAATGAATGGTCAAGAACATTAGACAGAAAAGCCCCGGTGGACATTATATACCTCGATTTTGCTAAAGCTTTCGATAGAGTTCCAAAACGAAGACTATTACATAAATTGGAACACCTTGGTATCCGCGGTCAACTACTGAAATGGATCGACGCGTATTTAACAGATAGAAAATTTTGTGTTAGAGTTGGGGACTCGTTCTCAGTTGAGAGAACGGTTTTAAGTGGGGTACCGCAAGGATCAGTTTTGGGCCCACTCTTATTCATAGCATACTCAAGTGATCTACAATTTCATATTAAATGCAACAATGCTTTCTATGCAGATGACACGAAGCTATTTTCCGATCCCTCCGTAAATTTCCAGTTACTACAAGATGACCTTGATTGCATATCGGAATGGTGCTCTACCTGGATGCTGCCTCTTAATGTGGAAAAATGTGTAGTTCTTCACATGGGTAAAAATAATCCGTGTCTTCCTTACTCTATTAATGGGCGCGTGTTAAAAACAGTGAAATCGCATAATGATCTAGACGTTATAATTAATAACAATCTAAGTTGGTCGGAACACATTTTGCATATTTCTAAAAAAGCTAACAGTAAATTATATCTACTAAATAAAACGTTTGCGAAAATGTCATTTATGAGCTCAATTCATCTGTATAAACTGTACATTCGTCCAGTTCTGGAATATTGCGGAACTGTTTGGTGTCCAGTATTAGTGCGCGATCGTAATATTCTCGAAAACGTACAGCGGCAGTGCACCAGGATGTCTTTTGGTCGCTCAAGACCTACGTATACAGAAAGACTGAATATGGCCAATCTCACTACATTTGAACAACGTCGACTTCGAGGCGACTTAATTATTACGTTTCGGATAGTAAAATACAACTTTGGAAATTTGGGGAATATGTTCATAATAGACAATGACAATCGTCTTCGTGGCCACAAACTTAAGTTTAAAAAGGAAACTTTTTTAACAACAACCAGACAATTTTTTCTCTGTAATCGAGTGTTCTCGATATGGAATAGCCTTCCAGCTGAGATCATAGATGCTCCATCTGTCAATATTTTCAAAAATAAACTGGATGACCTTTTGTTCCATAGTTGAACATTTAATTTGCACTAAACACTTGCTATTCCCTATGTTATTGTATATTCATTTAGTTAGTTAGTGCTTAATATGTAACTACTGTAATGTAACAATTTAATTGTACACTATATAACATTGTAGTCACATGGGCATATGGGTTTTGCAACCCCTGCTCAAATCTATTGTAAATAATAATAATAATAATATGCATGCTGATTTGGGTGAAGTAGGTTATGGACTAGAACTTCATCCATTATGTACCTCTCGCATAGCCTTTCCATCGTTTTCAACAGAAAAGATGTTAGGTTAATTGGTCGGAAAGCCTCTATTAGGGAGTAGTCCATCTACTATAGTTTTTGGTATAAAGACCACACGTACCTCTCTCCACTTCCTAGAAATATATCTCAAAGTAAAAGAGGCTCTGAATATTTCTACGAGGTGCGGCAGAAGGATATCCAGCCCCCAGCGTAGTAGGGCTGGATATATGCCGTCATGCCCTGGTGATTTAAAAGGAGTGAAGCACAATATGGACCATTTTACCTTTTCCTCATTAATCACTGTTCTGACGAGATTCCAGTCGTTTATTAAGGGTATGATTTCTTCTTCCATCCAGTTTGGTGCTGTTAAGATACCAGAACCGGGAAAGTGTGTTTTCATCAGGACCTCAGCACTTTCGCAAAGGTTGGAAGTTTTGTTTCCATCTTCCTTGGTTATATGCCGATGTGGGTCCTTTGAGAGCGTTTTTTGTAGCCTGAAAGCCTGCGGAAAATCTTCGATTTTCTCACAGAAGGTTTTCTAAGCAAATCTTTTTACTTTGTGTGCAGAGTTTTTTAACTCTTTGAGCTTTGATTGGTAAGAATCCCAATCATCTTTGAGTTCGGTGCATTTTGCTCTATTAAAAGCTGTTCTTGTTTTCTTCCTAAGGTGTTCCAATTCAGCGCACCAACAAGAGTTGGTTTTGCGACTTTCCTGGACCATCTTTATTGGCCAGGATTTTTATAAGCATAGATTATTTTCTTTTGGATAGATACCGCATACCTTCCCAATTCTGTATTAGTTCCTGGAGTTGAAGCATTTTCATTCCGCAGAGCATCTTCTAAGAGTCGGTTGTAGAGTTCTACAACCGTCCTCCTAGTGTCGCGCGATTTAATAAGGCTTTTTCCAGACCAATATTATAGGTTAGCCAGCGGTGGTCAGACATAGAGGTATCGTCCAATACTTACCAGTTCTAAATTTTATTCGATATTTCAGCTGTTGGATACATGTGGCCGAAGTAAGCCAGTTTTCTGTTTTTTATGGTATTAATAATTTCTTTGTCTTTTCTTAGCCTCTGAGTAATTGTTGTTACTTGTGTAGTGTATATATAAGACCCTCAATATACGTCGGTAGCACCACATTTCAAATGCCTTTAATCGTTTTATGGCATCTTCTGTAAAGATCCAGCTTTCTACTCCATAGAGCACACCAAAAACGTAACACCTAAAAATTGTTATGACTGTATTGAGACTTAAAGATAAGTTGCAGAGTATCTTCCTAAGAGCCCTTGTTAACGACAACGGTCAACGGGTCGTTTTTGAAACCGTCCCGTTGGCCGCTGCTCAGTGTCTTTCAGGTTGGCAAAATAAAAAAGAAGTCAACTACAACACTGATGTGTTTTGTTTGTCTTCATTGGAGAACCATCTCTAAATAAAGCCAAATGTTCGTTTTAAATTTTTTTTAAATCTTCGTATCTACGAATGAATACTATTTTTTGCAAAGTTTTTGTGTACTTTGTTTGTGTTTCTTTAAGTTAGTTCTAAATAATGAGTAAACGTACATATATAACATCTTTAATATACTACATATTGAGTTAGAACTGATGAAGCTTTGGAAATATAAAGCGAAACGTCTTCTATAAACTTATGAAGTAGTTGACTTCTTTTTTATTTTGCCAACCTCTTTTATTTTACCAATTCACTAGTTGAATACTTTATTAATATATATTTATATTTATATATATATATATATATATATATATATATATATATATATATATATATATAAAAGGATCACTCAACAGAGTGGTGGGCTCTTATATCGGTCAATTTGTAGGTGGAGAAATGAAAGACAAAGTTGATGTGCCACTCTATCTATTTTGAAAACGTTTCGCTTTCGTATTCTGAAAGCATCATCAGTTCATTCTAAAAAGTATAATATAAGAACCACACAATCATGGAAAAGATGTTACAGGTGTTACCTTAAAAAGACATGTAGCAGTCAAAGATGTTAACAAGCTTATGAATTAAACTTGAATAAATGGACAATATAAAGTAGAAATGTATAAACATTTAATTTACTAACAACATTTAGTGACTTATTAAAAAATTAGCACAGTGAGTGACCATGTGGTCAGAAGTATAAAAAATATATATTAAATTATAACGTAGTTGATGCAAAGAACTAAGAAAATCAACGATTAACTTCCAACAATAGATAATTATTAAATTTAATAAGTCACTAAATGTTGTTAGTAAATTAAATGTTTATACATTTCTACTTTATATTGTCCATTTATTCAAGTTTAATTCATAAGCTTGTTAACATCTTTGACTGCTACATGTCTTTTTAAGGTAACACCTGTAACATCTTTTCCATGATTGTGTGGTTCTTATATTATACTTTTTAGAATGAACTGATGATGCTTTCAGAATACGAAAGCGAAACGTTTTCAAAATAGATAGAGTGGCACATCAACTTTGTCTTTCATTTCTCCACCTACAAATTGACCGATATAAGAGCCCACCACTCTGTTGAGTGATCCTTTTATATATTGGAATTTGACGGTCGTACTCCTTTTTCCGATATATATATATATATATATATATATATATATATATATATATATATATATATACAAACAACACAGTTTATTAGGGTTGCAGTCAGAATTGTTGGCCGGGATGTTAAAAAAAAAAAAAAAAAAAAACACTCTTTTGACTTTTTGTCGAGCTTTCGGAATATTTTTATTCCTTTTTCAAGACATAGTCGTTGAGATTATTTTTATAAGCATTGAACACTCAACATTAATACCACACATTAAAATATACAATTATGGACATAATACATCATAAAATTTTTAAAAATTTGTTGTTAAAAATAGTAAAACTTCATTGATGGCATGTTTTACTGGTGTATATTAACTCATTTATCATTTATTAACTCATCATGAGTTAATATACACCAGTAAAACATGCCATCAATGAAGTTTTACTATTTTTAACAACAAATTTTTAAAAATTTTATGATGTATTATGTCCATAATTGTATATTTTAATGTGTGGTATTAATGTTGAGTGTTCAATGCTTATAAAAATAATCTCAACGACTATGTCTTGAAAAAGGAATAAAAATATTCCGAAAGCTCGACAAAAAGTCAAAAGAGTGTTTTTTTTTAACATCCCGGCCAATAATTCTGACTGCAACCCTAATAAACTGTGTTGTTTGTTTATATCGACAGTCAATAATATCCAGTATTTCTTGTATATATATATATATATATATATATATATATATATATACATATATATATATATATATACATATATATATATATATATATATATATATATACATATATATATATATATATATATATATATACATATATATATATATATATATATATATATATATATAAATCAACATGAAGTCTAAAAAGTATATTCCAATGTTTTTGTAAATAGTATATAATTTTATTTTGTTTCAGCCCGTACGTTTCAAACAGTAGTCCAACCATGTCATAATGATATATTCAATTTATTTAACAGATTATTCTAAAATTGTTATTAATGATTAACCAATAATAAAATGTATCTTGTTTGTTTCAATTTTTTATTATATTATATTATATATTTATATATCTAATTTCCTGAAGTTCTAAACAACTTGAGGTTTGCAGACGACATGGTTTTTATTGCAGACCGGGTAGATCATTCCTGTCAACTTCTTTAAGACCTTCAGTGCTCTTAAACATGAGTTGGCCTTAAAATTAACTTTTCCAAAACACAAAATATGAATAACCTTGTACTGGCCAAAAACATTTTAACTAATGCTACAAAAAATGGAACAACGTTATACCTATAAGTAAAGAAGTGAACTGTGGGTAGTGAGTAGGAATTCCTTGGATTTCCTTGGACAGTCTTATCAGAGAAAATGAATCAGTCCCTGCCCTCCACAGATTCCAGGTGGTCCCTGACCCGGGGAACTAGTACCTGTTTAGGCTTCCTTGTCCAGGGTTACGGATGAAGACCACAACGGCAATCACGGCGGAGAAGGATACCTTTGGTACGACCAGAATGGCGGAAGTGGCGACCCGAGATTTTAGGGCTAATATAAAGTCAATTTTCACCGAACTATAGCCGGTATAAGCGATTCTACTTACCTTGCCAACGGTCTCTGGATAGACGTATACGTAAGATAGGGCACTCTTTTGTCCTTAGGGTGGGAAACTGCCTCTAAAAGGCGGAGGAACAAAGATAGTCAACGGCATAAAAATACGGAAGGCAATGGGAAACCACCGTATTAAAGGTACCCAAGGATATCCTAAGAAAGACAAGGATGGAAAAGATATTGCAAGCAACGGCCCCTAGTCCGTGGCAGGCCTTAAGTGGTCAAAGAGTGCTAAGAATCTTTGTAAAGAAAAACAATGTAAGACATCATAGGTCTTAGCGAAATCAGATGGCCTAACACTGGTAAATGTACTAAAGAAAAAGCGACACTATATTACTCAGGAAATAACCTACCCCATCATTATAACGGAGTTGGATTTTTAGTTAACACAGTCTCAAACAAACTGTAAGGAAAAAAACACAGAAGTTAAAACACTTCACACATGTGTATTGTAGTATAAAAACAAACAAATATTTAAAACTGTATAAAAGTGTCGTCAACATTTAAGTTCTGGCAGAACGTTTTCAATTTGAACAGATCATCCTCAGTGCCTTGTGTACTTGTAGCTAACAATAAAGTTGTCTATAAGACCTCCATGTATAGATTTACAGCATTCTAAATGTTACATTAAATAATGTTTTGACTCTAGGTCGATGACAATGGATAGGTTTTTTAAAATTACTCTAGGGACTACATGTCTCCCAGCTCGATTATTAACACGGGGTACTTGTTAGTTGAAACGACACAGACCAACTGAGTTGGTCTATGTCGTTTAAAACAGTAAGGAATTTCGTGGCAGACTTAGATAGGGCAGCACTACTACAAGTCCAAGCCGATCCTGTCGACCTTAACATTATACCTATCAATGCGCCAACCGTGGACAAGCCTGAAAATGAAGTAAAAGAATTGTACAGAGAGATTAAGGAGTTAACAAAACTGATCAAGAAGAACCAGACTCTTATAATCATGGGAGATTTCAATGCGAAGGTAGGGCGAGAACGTGTTGAAGATGTTGTGGGTGACTTTGGTTTGGGAGATCGAAACGAGAGAGGTGATATGCTAATCCAGTTCTGTCAAGAAGAAAAATTAGTCATTTCGAATACCTGGTACAAACTGCCACCTCGGAGACTCTACACCTGGCAGTCTCCACAACATACGCATGACAACATAGTAAGAAATCAAATTGATTTTTTATTGATTAATCAGAGATACAGAAATGGATTGCAACGAGTTAAAACGTACCCTGGAACAGATATCGGATCTAATCACAATCCCGTAGTAGGAAAATTAAAAATTAAGCTTAAAAAAATTAAAAGAAAATTCATAAAGAAAATTGAGACTGACGAAATATTATCAATCATGGACGACCGCAGATCATTTAAAAACAAAGACCGAACAAAACATCAGCAGATCAACCGACAAATAAAAAAAGAGTGTCGCAAAGCTAAAGAATAGTGGCTGGTAGATAGGTGTGCAGAATTGAAGGAATTGGAAGAAAAACATGACCGCTTTAACATACATAAACTCATTAAAGAAGTGACAGGTCATACAGAACCTTGCAGTTTTTACAGTATTGTGAAGGACAATAAATTAATTACTGATCCCGAAGATCTACTTGGAGAAACTACAAACAGCAACTATACTCAGACACAACTAGAAGAAGCTCTGAGAGTGAATATAAAAGTCAACCCTCCCCCAAAATATTAAAGTCAGAAGTTGTAAGGGCAATCAAACAGAGCAAATGGGGAAAAGCACTAGGCCCAGACGACATATACATAGAGGTTCTAACATTGTTGAGTAAGGACAATTTAGACGCCTTGGTAGATCTTTTTAATGACATTTATGGGTCCGATCAAATACCACAGGACTGGCTTTAATCAACCTCTATACCAATCTTAAAAAAGCCAAACGCTAATAGTTGCGACCAATTTCGAATGATCAGCTTATTGAGCCAGGTCCTAAAACTCTTCTTAAAGATAATTCACATAAGAATATACAACAGATATGAAAGATACATTAGCCCCACACAGTTCGGTTTCAGACAAGGATTTGGCACAAGATAAGCACTTTATTGCTTAACTGTTCTACTTCAGAAATGCAGAGATCAGCAAAAAGATGTCTTCCTATGCTTTATAGATTATCATAAAGCATTCGATTGTGTTAATCATTTAGAATTAGTAAGATTGCTCCAGAAACGTTCGATAGATGAGAATGACCTTAAAATCATAAAGAACCTTTATATGAATCAGTGGCATCTGTGAGAGTAGGACTGGAATCGACATCATATTTCTCAATCAAAAAAGGTGTACGACAGGGTTGTGTTCTGTCACTCCTCCTTTTCAATCTTTACTCTGAAACGATTTTCGATAGAGCCTTAAGTGACACTGAAGATGGAATCAAAATCAACGAACAGACTATTATTAATATTCGCTATGTTGATGATACAGTCATAATAGCTAATAGTCAAGAAGCGCTACAACGACTAATAGATAGAAAACACTGAAGGAGAACGACTGGGCTTGAAGATTAATATAGACAAGACGAAGGTAATGGTGGTTAGTAGAACACGAAATATGCAATTAAATATATAAGAGTAAATAACAATAACATCCAAAAGGTCCCCAATTTCAGATATCTCGGTAGTTGGATAACTGAAGAGCTAGATCCAGACATAGAGATACGTAGCAGGATTGAGCAAGCCAGAACAGCATTTACTAATATGAGAACCTTGCTAAGTAACAGAAGCCTCAACTTAACGCTTCGATATCGCTTTGTAAAATGTTACATTTACTCCGTACTGCTATATGGTGTAGAAACCTGGACCATAAAGGCCAATGTGATGAACCAATTGGAGACAAATTGAGAAGAAAAACTGCTTATCTGGGTCATATATTTCGAAATTCCAAGTACCAGTTCTTAAAGCTTATTATGGAAGGGAAGATAGAAGGAAAACGTGGCATCGGCAGTAAGAAATACTCATTTTTTAAAAACATAAGATATTGGACAAACCTCGATGCCCATGCACTCTTTAGAGCCACACAAGATCGAGAGGAGTATTCCAGAATTGTCGCCAACATCTACTAATTGGATAGGGCACCATAAGAAAAACAAAGAACTGAAAAGAGGTGAATAAGCTAATAAAAACGAAACACATTCAGAAGGAAACATGGTCAAACTACTTTCGATCTCTTTTTACTAAACGTGGCGACAATGAACCACCAACACTAGAGGTTTCGACAAACTAAGAAATAAATATTGAGAAGGAAGAGGTAAAGGCAGCATTACGAAAATTAAAAATAGAAAATCACCAGGAGAGGACATAATACCGAACAAATTTCTAAAGTAGGGAGGACCAGATCTAACTAAACAACTATTAAAACTAATCTAAAAAATATTAAAACAAAACAGAATTCCTCAAAAATGGAAATCAAGCATTCTAATACCTCTCTTCAAAAAGGGAGACAAATCGTATTCGGAAAATTACAGAAGAATTAATTTATTAAACACAACACTAAAATTAACGACCAAAGTGATAACAAATAAACTGAATGAAATTATATAGCAGAAGAACAACAAGGTTATAGGTAGGAAAGATCATGCACCGACGCTATATTTATAATCAGGCAAGTGCAAGAGAAATCATTAGAATACAACAAACCGTCATATTATTTCGTGGATTTTAAGAAGGCATTTAATTGGGTCAAATTAAAGGACTTTATCCACTTATTATACGCAAGAGAAATACCTCTAGGAATAATCAAAACGATCGAAAATATCTACCAAAACAACACAGTAAAGGTAAAAGTAGAAGAAGAGCTAACTGACCCCATTGAAGCTGGTAATGTAATAAGACAGAGAAATTCCCTGAGTCCTCTAGTGTTTATTATTATTCTTATTTATGGATGAAATAATAAAAAAATTTAGGATACCAAATAGGAGAAAAACAACTTAAAATAATCTGCTATGCAGACGATGCAATTTTACCTCTCAAAGTGAAGATGACTTACAACGTATGCTCCAACTATTCAATATGAGCATCAGAAAATTTAACATGTTAAGTTTCCCAAAAAAGACAAAATGACAAAATAACATCAAATTTACTAAGATGAAATTTGGAGCTTGAAGGTCAAATAATAGAATAAGTGATGGCGTTTAAATATTTAGGCATTACAATATCTAGCTACGGAAATACGAAACAGAATTGAGAGATCAAGTGAATAGAGCTAACAGAGCCGCAGGTTGCCTAAATAAAACAATAGGGAGAAATAAAAAGATCGAGGAGGAATCAAATCGAATCAAGAAATTTCGGAGGAAAGAAATAAAAGGCAGAATTATCAAAACAGTCATCAGACCAATAATGACATACGCGGTAAAAACACGACCTGATACAGAGAGGACAAAAAGGA